CTGGACTTGCAGTCAAGTAATCATCAACATACGCATGTACAAAGCCAAAACTTTGATAAACGTCATAGATGAATATTTGGAAAGTCTGTGCTGTATTTCCTTAACTAAAAGATCAACCTCAGCTTTCCGGTAGCTAGTCGGCACACTTTCAAAAATACAGGTGGACCTGTGGTCGTGATGTGACATTCAACGTTGCCGATTACACGTGACACTTCCGGTTGCGTTCGTTAAATCTCAGGGTACTTATCGAGTAATTTTTCATACTATGGATCAATCATTTGCCTTACTGTGACAGTGGATGGTCTACAACCTAAAAAAGTTACACCAACAGATAAATTAGTATTTCCATCTACTTACCTCCGTTTGAGAGTGTCGATGAGTAAATTATGATGTTGTAGCATGTCAATACCAATAATTAGCATGGAAACATCTCCGAAAAATAAGATCCAGTGTTTAGATTTGTATAAACTTATAAAATTATGGTTTTCTTCGTTTTTAGTACCGCTTTAATAATAGACTTAATCTTAAAATTGTAGATTTGCCATGATGTAATTGTCTAATCTATAAGAGCTTACGTGAAAGTCATATTATTATCTACACTAACCCATCGCATCGTAACAATCATCAAGATATGGTGAAGAACACAGGCTATAGATAGAAAAATATATTTAATATGGATAAAAGGTATATAACTACACTCAAGAATGATTACGCCTGCAATGCCGAGCATTGCCATCCGATCAATTCAAATTAATTGGATTCATCCGTCCAACCTTCCTCATCGTTGGCTTATCCTCTGCGTTAAATGTTGAATACATATACATACACTACAAATCTACGTCGAGATACACATATTGCTTACCATAAGTCGCTATTAGCTTCCTATTTGTCGCTCGCAATTTGAGTACTGCTCCGTGAAGTCGGTCATTAGAACTACCTATAAAAGCGCTTACTTCTGCATCAGTGTCTACAAAGAAGCAAGCTTTCGTCATCATGTCAGTGATGCATAGCAAACGGCTATGTTTCACCGGCTACAGTTACTCTTAACGTGTGCCGGCTGGGAAGTTACTTGAGGCGTTTTTCGTGTCGGTCAGTTTAGGGCTCGAAAAATTGCAGGGTCTCCTACAATTTCGAGAAGACCTTCTGTACTGGTTATGATACCAACAGCAATCAGGGTTATCTGTCTCTCGGGATCTAGAGACAGACAGCTTCCCTGAAAAGCTATGGGGAGGTGAGGAGCGTCTACGGTCATGACGAATACTAAGGTGACGTGTCAAAGTTCTGTGGTGTCATTTCATGTCGCTTAATGTTTTTATTTGACTTCGGCGTCTGAAATTCTGGTGATCCACAGAATTCAGTCGACAGATGCAGTCAGTTCATCTTCAGTGTTTTTATGATATGAGACAAGAACTGTTTGAACCTGATGGGCAATCTAAAATGAGAAAAGTTGTCTAAACAGGCTCTTTTCAAAGGTCTATCAACCAGTGACCTCTCTCATTCGTAGTAACATGTCTATCGCTGAAGCATATTATAGATCGACGTTGTTGAAAAGTTGATGTAAACTCTGTTGACTGGTTAGATCTTTACACTTAAGAATAGACATTTTTAGAGTCTTGTAAGGTTCCGAAACATCACTAGCGAACATACTAGGTGCGGTATTTGAGACTGTACCGTTTGATTTAAATGCCATTGTGGTAATGGATTCAAGTTCTGGATTGAACATCAACTGTGAGGTGCAGGTACATTCAATTAATGAGTTCCAAATGGGACGAAACCCGTGTCCTGGATTCCACTTCTAGCCATTATTTATCTTTGCTTGAAAAGCCTGTGACTTAAAGCTATGTCGAGGCGATCCGCACAGAATGCACATATGCCAACATGAGACTGATCAATTACAGTCATAGATAACAATCGGAAGATACGAGTAAAACAAATTACTTTATTAATAATCCCGACGATAATCTAGTCACTACACTTAAACAGAATTAAATTTCCCACCATACAAATATCTCGTGAAATATCATTTGTATTTAAGATAGTATAATGTTTAGAATTATTTGAATTATAGTATGAACCAGGAATCCCAGAATTAACGCAATCTAATCAAGAAGTACTAGACAAGCACGAACGAACGTATTGTATTTAGAATTCGAAACCAAGCACTGAAAAAGTACAATGAAATCATCAGTTCATTCAAACACCACAGAGAGTTTTCCAAATCGTACAGTTTTCTTATTGAACGAAGTGTGATGCTTTTAAACAATTTAAGGAAGAAAACTTTAAGTAGAGACTTATAATACAAACTGGATATTCCATAGAAGATTTGTTTTCGTCATCTCCAGTTTTAACAATGGATAGTATTTTTTTTTCTTTGTAGCCAACACTACTGTTACATCATTTAAAAAGTTTCACTTTTATTAGTATATCATAATCAAGTTGTATTTCTACTGAAATAAAGTTTTGATGGAGACATTTGTGGGAAAAAAGAAACATCTCTAAGATTCAACAGACACTGAATAAATCTCATTTGTAAGAAAATACTGTCGACCCACTTGTTTTTTTTCTTTCCATAAACAACATCTTATACATTGTTTCGACTTATTTGTAATCATTTTAGAATGGTATTTGTGTATTATACAAGTATGAATGAAATGAGATTTTCTTTAAAATAGTTAGATCATCTTTATGTGATGAATAGGTATATTTGAATTATAGTACAAACTGAGAATCTCAAAATTAACACAATTGGACCAAGAAGTACTGTAGTGAACAGGAACACCAGTGTTGAAAATCGAATGTATTCGACACAAAATTACAGGTCATGTTAATAAAATCTAACAATTATACAGTTAATGCTTAATTTGCAATATGTCCATCAATTATCTCAAAATGACTCAGACTTCATTGTTCTTGCGTTTTCATACAAATTGCATTCTATTTCCATTCTTTACTGTTCGATCCTCTTGTCTGTCTGCTGCAAGACATTCTGTTTCTGACTAACATCAAATACTATTTATGTCTATATAAGTAGCACACACCACAGTACTAGATAGGCACTGTAGTGAACAAGAACACGGGTGGGGACAAACGGATGTATATAGCACAACAATTACAGTCTATCTCAACAAAATCTGAATACCATATAGTAAATCGTTAATTTGCAAAATGTTCATGCATCAAACCAAAATGGACTGTTTCTGTTGCAAACACCAATCCATTTTCTTACAAATTCCATTGTGTTCTCGCTCTACCCTTCTTGATCTTCGTCATCTTCCGCTGCTAGACATTACATTCTTTTAACGCATGTTATATACTACTTATATCAATATACGTAGCTCACACCACAGCACGAACGAATGTACTGCATTTGGAATTTGAAATCAAGCGTTCAACAAGTATAAACGAATCATTAGTTCATACAAACACCAGAAAAGTATTGATCTGTTCTTTAATTGTGAATATATATACATATAACAAGGAGATTGTTTTCACTTCAATTACGTAACAATTTTCTTTAGTGTTAAGCAAATAAAGAAACTCAAAGAATAACTCGTCATGACCATTTATAAGCTTAGTAACTAAATAAATATACCAGGAGAATAATAATAAATATATTTTGCTTTATTGTTATATCCTAATGAGTATTAAAAAAGTTGTATTTCTGACGTTTCGTCACATAATGTAAGCCACTTCTTCAGGGTAAATAAATAACTGAATATTAAGTTAACACAAGTTTAAATAGTACAAAAGTAACCAGATGACTATTTAATCGATATTTCATTTATCTTCAATATGATAATAGTTTAATATTATTATAAAATCTATCAAGTATATATTTTTTTTACCTAACTGAAGATATTTGATTCGAGTTTATACTCTAGTAACAAATTAAAAAGTCTGTCATTCATAAAATGTACTGATGTACTGTTAAGAACAGAAATATTCAGTTAAGATTGAATAACTATTATATGGTTGAATTCAGGAGTCAATTGAAGCTATACCATCATGGAAAACCTGGAAGCACTGGGAGGCAACTTCGTCCTATTGTGAGACTCCTCCTCAACAGCGCGCATCCACGATCCCGTCTAGCGAGATTCCAAACCAGGATTTAGCATTCTCGCGCTGGAGTGCTGAAACACTAGAGCATTGAACTTGGCGGCATCCAATGGTGTTAATGTCTAACTTCAACCAGTTCATGAAATGGAGCCACTGGACGTCGGTTCAGTGCTTACAGGTTTTCCATAATGGTCAAGCTTTAATTGACTCATGAACTCAACTAATAAATTACTAAAATCTTCACAAGTCCTCACTCTGATAAGAATCATCATGTGCTCACTAGTGACGGTTTCCAAGAGATATCTCCTGGAGTTCCCGTGAGAGGCAGTGACTAGTAGAGTCCAACCGGGTCAATTGTGAGATAGTTACTCACTGATGACAATGGTAGATGTGTCGCTCAATTTCTTGGATTAGTTGAAGTTAGACATTATCACCGTTGGATGCCCTCAGTTTCAGTGGTCTATAATTGAAACGTTCGCATGCGAGACCGATAGGTCGTGGATTCGAATCTCACTAGGCGGAATTGTGGATGTGAACTGCCATGGAGGAGTCCCATACTAGGACGAAACGGACATGCACTGCTTCCAGGTTTTCCACAGCGATCTATCTTCAAATGACTCTCAACTACTAAACATTACTAATAATATCTACAAAACCCCCCGCTTCAGAATATAATTAATTATAAATGATCAAATTAAGAAATTGTATCCTCTTCCATAAATAGATGAAAAACAAATAAATACATATGATTAATCAATCACGAAAAATAAACTTTTTGTCCTCCTCCTCCTCCTACCCCTACCCCTACCCCTAACTCTTTCATTGTTCTATATTAATGTTTTCATTGAAATTTGATCTTGTTTACAAGTAAAGAAAAACGCCAATCTAATGTAAATAAGAAACTGTTTAAATAAACTATGGAATATTCCTATAAATTATGAACATTTCATTAAGACATTTGATAAGCAATTCATTGTATACATTGATAATATGATGAATACAATGATAGTTGAGTTTGTCTGCATATTCATATGTTTAATTGCAATAAATGGTAAGTACTTTAAGTTGATTGTAGTTTTATAAAAATTAACTTAATTTATAACCATAATGATGAATTTAACATTCGTGTAATCATAAATATAACTAAACCATACAATTCGTTGAAGAATGAAGAATTTTCAGTAGTAAGTTTATATTTGAAAACCTTATTCACAAATATGTGAAACAAATCGGTAAACTTGACTTCATTGCACAAGCAATCGGCTATGAGGACTCAATGGCTAAATGCATAACGCGATGGCGTTTAAAGCGAACGATGCTGGTTTCAAGGCCCACAGTGAACATCAACTCTGGGATATAGGTACATCCATCTGATGAGTACCAAAGAGAACGAAACACGCGTCAAACTGGATTCCACTGCTAGCCACTGTCCACCTTCGCTTATAATACACATGAATTAAGGCAATATCGTGGTAACACACACAGTATGCACATATGCCAATAATAGACTGATCAATTACAGTCTTAACTAACAATCGGAAGATTCAAGTAAACAATACTAAGTGAATTTAAATTGATAAATTAGTAGCATTCAAAGTATCAATTTGTCTCGTATGATGTTCATAAGGGAAAATTAAGTTGCATGTAAAATGTCTTTTATATTTAGTGACTAATTGTTACCGATTGATTGATTTCAGTTAATGCAGTTCCAAGTGAGTCTACACATGAATTTTCCACTTACTATAATAACAACCTCTGTTATATAACAAAGTACAAAGGAGAACGATGTCACTCAGAAACTGATAAACATATCACTTTTCACTAGTATTTTGATATTACTGTTATATGCGTTGTGTTTATGATCTATGATGGAAGACAAATGTATTCAATAAGAACTAGAACACCAATGTTCTTCAACTTGATTGACAAACAATTAATGTAAATTTGATTGAACGGATACTACTGGATGAACTGGAATGAAAGTAGTATTGGATTAACATCAGATTTAGACTTGTTTGCAAATGGATTGTTACTCATTTTGACACTGGCACGTAGAATCACTAGTTGGGTGTATTAGAATAGAAATAACACTGATAGTAGAATATTCAACAAGTATGTTTTAGTAAAATCCAATTTGGACTGTATGAAACTGTTCTGATCTGTATTGTATTGTTATGAATACAAACTTTCTAGAGTGTATATTAGTCGGTATATTTCAATTATTTATACATCAATACAGTGCTGGAATATCATTAACAAACAGACAGATAGATAGATAGATAGATAGATAGATAGATAGATAGAAAATTAACCAAAGGGATATTGAGAAGATTCACGTATAAGACATTCGTATTAATCATACAACTAAGCACGAGTTAACTAACAGAAATGAACTGATGCATTCGACAGTCATAAACCCAGTTACAATAGAATCTAGACCACTATGTAAAACCTGGAAACACTGGACGACGGTTTTATCCTAGTATGCGACCCCTCAACAGTGCGCATCCTTGATTCGGCGTCGCTAGATTCAAACCTATAACCTATCACTCTCATGCGTGAACTCTTAACCTCTAGACCACTGTACTTGCCAACATACAATGGTGTTAATGTCTAACTTCAATTAATCCACGAATAATAAATAAATGTTGAAATATGTATAACACAAATTTTTATTTGACTTATTAAAATTACCTTTGAATGGAATATATGATGTACTGGTGGGTGGCCTATGCTCCTTCACAAAGAGTAACAGGCGTAAGTAAATAGTAAATAAGGAATACATAATAACATGTGAATCATTTAGTTTTCATGATAGACTTATGTAAGAACTATTCATCAGTTCAATAGAAGGATCCTATACTAAACACTTAAATGATGTAATCAACTTTGCAAATTGGTACAATGTATTGTATACTTTCAGGTTGAATGTAAATTTTCAATGTGCTGAAAAACGTATATACATATCTATACAATTAAAAGTTGTATGTTATCATTCAACGAGGTGATAACGATTACTTTCAACAGGAAGTGATGACGTCTATTTTCCTGAAGATAACTACTGTTGGATTACAAGTAGTGATTTCTTTATACCATGATAGATAGGCTATGGGCCCAGTTATTGTATTGATAATTTAATCTGTACCATTAGGATTCTTCTTAAAATTGTGATTATTTTAATTTTAGCTACAAAACCACATCCTGTCAGTAAGTTGATCATTATTATACGGTGTCATGTTACGTTTTTTGAATTTCGTGCCTTGATGAATCATCTTTAGGTGGAAGTTTGAAAATTGTGAGATTTAAAAGGAAAATAGTTACATATGAGCTAGATGATCTTAAATGCAAATGAATAGTTTGTTTATATCATAAAATTCAACAGAAGGAGGTCTGAGGGATCGTGGATGTGCAGTGTTGAGGAGTTCCACAATAGGACGCAACAGCCGTCCAGTGCTTCCAAGTTTTCCATAATGATCTAGCTTCAATAGACTCATGATATCAACTATTAAAATTCAATATTACTTTAAAAAATGGGACGAATATCATTTGAGAAGGTTTTGCTGGTTTTTCTTCTCTGAGCTGGATAGTTTGGTGATGGAGCTTTCATCATTCTTTCGAACGAAATCATCAGCACAAGCTTCAGGTAGAAGTGAAGTGTTCAAATTTCTACACATGTGGTTCACAGTTTTTTCTGTGGACCTCGATGTTGATTGGTTCATGCTGACCTTAAACTTGTCATTGTTTACTTGTTTGTTTTGGTTGTATCTCCCATTAGTTTGATTTTTGTTTCTACGTGCTAATGATGTCGTTCAGAAGGACGATGAAAGCTCCATGACCAAACCATCCAGTTCAGAGAAGAAAACTCTATCAGAATCATCCGATTGAGCTACAAATCTTCTCCATCATTTCAAAACCAGAAAAGCATTTGATATTTGTTATGAATTAAGATAAAGCTGAGCTGTCCATTGAATTTTAGATGATTTTACAAAAGGCAACAATGCAATAGTTCATTGAAACTATATATTTATAAGGATGTGAATTATAGATACAGGGAAAGATTAGATCATGTCCAATATAGAAATATATATGATCAAATAGTACAAAGTACTTTATAGATCAGAAATATCTTTCTATTTCTCGAATATGACTTGATATGGTGATTGTATCAGGTTTACTCTACAAATTAACCGTGTATTGAAATACAATTATGCATTGAGAAAGTGTAAAAGTTTTCTTTCGTCACTGATTTAAAAATTCATCAAGTCTGAGATGCAGGTATTTCGAACTAATGAATCCCAGATAGGACGAAACACGCGTCAAACAGGATTCCACCTCTAGCAACTATCCATCTTCGCTTATAATGAATGTGAATTAAAACTATATCGACGCAATACGCACAAGATGCACATATGCTAACAAGAGAGAGAGAGAGAGAGAGACTGATCAATTGCAGTGCTAAACATCAATGGAAAAATTCAAGTAAATAATACCAAGTGAATTTAATCATCATATTTGTTTAACTAATTTCAAGCTGTAAAACAATCTACACCAGGTAAGTGATAAAATTAACACAAAATAATAAACCAAACTTTATTCTTTTTTTATATTTTTTTTCACGAATATTTTCTTGTGCACACATATTTCTTGGAAGTGAATGTTATTTTATTTATTTACGTATGACTATTACCTCCAATAGAGAATAGGCCACCAACCAGAATTCTCCAACCCATTCTATCCTGGGTCTTCTTTTCTAGTTCTATCCAACTTTTGTTCATTCTTCTCATGCTTGTGTCCATTTCTCGGTGTAATATGTCCTTTGGTCTTCCTCTTCTCCTTTGACCTTGAGGATTGTAAGTAGGAGCTTGCTTTGTGATGCAGTTGAGTACTTTCCTTAATGTGTGTTCTATCCACCTCCAGCACTTCTTCCTTATTTCTTCCTCCGCTGAAATCTTGTTTGTTCTCTCCAGGAGTAGGTTGCTGCACATTATTAATCAATGAACTCAGGATCATGATAATCCATAAGAATCACTATCTGAATAATAATTATCATAAAAATTGTGAAGTTTCTATGTTGAATAGTTGATTAAAAATCGAATGATAGTGTGTCATTAATTGTTTGGAACTATTAAATATTGAAATAAGATTATGTAATTAAAATTATTATAAAAATGAAAAGAATCAATTAGGCAAGCGAATTTCATAGTTTAATAGTTGAGATCATGAGTTAGTTGAAGTTAGACCACCATGGAAAAAACAGCCGTTTCGTCCTATTGTGGGACTCCTTCCTGGCAGTGCGTATCCACGATCTCGCCTCGCGAGATTCGAACCCAAGACCTATTTCTTAGAAGTTAATGTTGTACACAACAATCTCTAATAAACCGAATGAATTAGAGTTGTCTTCTTCATGTACAGATAAACGTATTGACGAAAAATGGTTCATTTATTCATTACTATGAGACAATTACGTAAGCTATGTCGTCCCTAAAAATGTGTTATCTTAAATAAAAGCTGAAATTATCTGGTTCTAATGTGATTAAACGTGTTAAAATGTGATTAAAGAGTACTGAACAGCTCAGTAATACTAAAAGCTCAGTCAATAAATATCGAATGGTTCCAATATACCGAAATATACGTCATACATATCTTTTAAATACGATTAAAAAACACTACTCAAACTATTAATAATCAACTAATTCATAGAAAAAAAGAAGGTTTAGATCCCACATAATTCTAAATGAATTGAAGTCATGATGAAGCTATTTGTATGTTAAGTAATAAAAATGAAAATATGAAATGAGTTTATTACTTACAGCATCTCCCCTGAAGCTAGTCTTTGTTGTCCAATATCCATCCAATGTGTTTCACTGATTTTAAGCATCTCCAGGTTGTATCTTTTTATTTCTGCAACAGTTTGAACGACTCTCCCGGTCTTCCACATTGTTAGAGTATTCCATGTACCTAAATTAACTGTTGCTCTGGTTGCCAGTAAGGGCATCAGCCTCGTCACTTCCGAAAGAACTCGGCTTTTACCATAAGACGTAATAACTTTTCAAAATAAAGACCTTTTAACCCTGGTTAGCGTTCGTTAAGCGAGTTAGTTTTCTGCGGGATCGAGTCGCTAACCCCATGTTCAACCCTCCTCCCTTATCCGGGCTTGGAATTGGAAGTAGCCCCAGATGGAGTTAAATAAGTTTATTAGCTAGTCTATTAATGATGAACATTGTTGATACTGAATAGTTCCATTGAATAATTTGTCATATGAAGAATACGATTTAATGTGAACAGCGTAATTTCGATATTTAAATTTTTTGCAATAATCTAACCATGTGAATACGGACAGATTTGAAATGAGCTTTTAATTAACATTAATATCATTCAATTAATGTTATGAATGCATCAATCTAATTATATTTCAGTTCATCATGAAGAAGGTATGTTATTTATTTAGTCTTTCTTGTATTCTATTTTTTCTTTTTCTTTTTGAAACTTCAAACTCTACAGTGAAGAACTAATAGACTATTTATTCTCTGGAAAAGTGGCTTACATTGAGTGATGAAATGTCAGATAATCTAATTCTTCTACTCAATGAGATATCCACAACTATATTGATTAGTTTATTTATAACAGTCTAACCAATCTTCAATTTATTTGAAATTTGACATGTGGCTGTATTTCGTGGATCGGCTGAAGTTAAACAATAACACAATTCGATTTTGGCAAGTTTAGTGGTCTAGAGGTTAAGCGTTCACGTGTGAGACCGTTAGGTCCTGGATTCGAATCCTTTGAGGTGGGATTGTGGATGCGCATTGTTGAGGGGCCCCTTAATAGGACGGAACTGTCGTCCAGTGTTTCCATAGTGGTCTAGTTTCTATTGATTCATGATTTCAACTATTGAATTACTATAATATCCACAAAGATACTCCATCTGATATTAATCAAAATATGCTCACTAGTAACTATCTTCAAAAGGTATTTTCTGGAGTTGTAGCGGGAGGCTGTGACCAGTGGAGTTCAACCGGGTCTGTTGTGAGATAGTAATTTACTGAAGACAATGGTGGACGGTGGCGCAATATGATTCACTGGTTGAAGTAAGACATTAAGACTGTTGGATGTGAGCTCTGTGGTCTGGAGGTTAAACATTTGCCCGCAAGATCAATATCTCTTCAATTTGAATCGAAAGGGATACGGTCGTGATTGCGCACTGCTTAGGAGTTCCATAGTACGACGAAATGGTCGTCCAGTACTTCGAAATTTTCGATAGTAGTCTAACATTGATCCCATTCATCATATAAATCTACTACTTAATAGTCTTCACAATCCTATACACACTGATATTCAGGATGAATAATTTTTTTTTTCAATTTCATTTAAACAAGTTAATTGAAGTTATTGTTTTGACTAATATTATGATAGAATCATTTTTTAAGCGTGAGTTAACTTTACTACTTAATAAGCATAAATTTATTAGATTAAATGAATATATACTCTAAAAAATCTTTATGGTTTAATAATATACAAATATTCATCAAGATTAGAACTAATAGTTTGACAAAAATTGAGCACCAAGTATAGACTAGTCATTGTGACGGAGTTTTGTTCTCTGAGCTAGATGATTTGATCGTGGAGCTTTCATCGTTCTTCTGAACGACATCATCAGCACAAACTTCAGATAAAAGTGTCATTGTATATCATTATATGGGTAATGATTACCTTGAAGAAGTTCAGACAAGGTGGCTGGATGAAACGTTGTCACATACAATAAGACAATAATAGTTTTGTTTAAAACAAACGTTTTTATAATAATGGTTAGTTTCTATGACCAATGGATGTCTTGTTATGCAGTTGACATGAATGGTAATTTATACTCTCTAAAAAACATTTTTAAATTATTTAATCAAGTGTTTTCGTTGTGAAATATTTAAAAAGTCTATGTAGAATATTGAAAGTGCTTCAACAAGTAAAACCATCGATTTTCCTTCGTTCAAAGTCTTGCCAAATGTACATTTTATTAAAACGAGTACCGTTTTGCACCACTGCTGTGTTGTTTATTTTGTGAAGCAGTGATAGATTGTGAGTAGCAGTAGAATCCAGGACGGATGTTTCGTCCCATTTGAGACTCTCTAGCTTGATGTATCTATATTCGAGTTGATGTTCAACTCAGGACTCGAACACAGCACCGTTTTCTTCTAATCCCATCATGTAGTCCACTGAGCTACCGAGTCCATATAGCCACTAGCATGTGCAACAGGGTGAAGTTTAATTCACTTCTGTATTGATATTTTGCATCTTCTCAATAATATTTAGGACTTTAATTGACTAGTCTTTTATTGAAGTATGTGCATATTGTACGGGATGCTACAATATATAAATAGCTGATAGGTCCAAAATAGGACGAAACGCGCGTCCTAGATTCTACTACTAGCCAAAATCCATCTTCGCTGATAATGTTTGTGGCTTTAGTCAATATCGTGGTAATCCGTACAGGACAAAACATATTCAAACAACAGACTGATCATTCTCACTCCTAAACATCACTGGGTAGATGCAAATAATAAGTGCAAAGATGAATTAAGTGAGTACAGTATTTGTTTACCGGTAACATAGGAAATCTAGCAGAGTTTTATCTGCTAACAGTATAAAAGTCTTTAAAAAGACAACAATAGCAACCCTTGCTACTCTGAGTTCATACAATTTTATTGCTAATTCTGAATTTTTATTTTTTTGCAACGACCGCTTAACTATTAGACTAATAGGTTAGGATCTAACAGTACATATTTGCAAATCCAATGCCAATAGTGAATAGTGTCTTAATTCTGACTTTTGCAACTCGTCAAAATGTCCTAGCTTTAATTAGTGACATTCGAAGATCGTTCTTTTATACTCCGAGTTCGTTGAAGTTTGGACTATGTACCATTAAATTCAAACCTAGTGGTTCAATGGATGAACGGACTTTGTGAGAGCTGAAGACCTTAGTTTACACCTTTTAAGGGAGTGAGAGGGCGCACTACCGTCTAGCTCCATACTAGCAGGTGACAAATCCCTAATGCTATCTGACTTTTAATAGCACTCTGAGTTCAGTCTGCCCAATCTGCATTAGTATATGTCAAGTGTAATACTTGAAGTAGTATAGCTTATTATTTCATAACAATAAACGATCATTGAACTCTATTGTTGAAACCCTGTATAGATTTTTCATATCTGCTACATGAAATTATTTATCTCAATGAAATCGGGACCGTGGAGTTCCATACTAAGACAAAACGGCCATCCAGTGCTTCCAAGTTTTTCATAGTGGTCTGGCTTCAATTGACTCATAAATTTAACTATTAGAATTATCATAATATTCACAAAAACCCTTCGCTGATTATAAATGAATAGTAATAAGTGTATTGTGTTAAACATAATACTTTCCAACAGTTCAGTTTAGCATTTAGACTCTTTCAACTAACATATTTATCTAATGGGTTTCTTCAATTATAAACTGAAATTCATGTAAAGAATCTACTAAATGAGATAAGTAAATATCTAGATGCTTAGTAATAAACAGTGTTCTTTTGTTTCAGGTACGTGGCATAAATGTAAGTGAATGTTCATTAAAAAGTCTACCAAAATATCTTAAAACTCTATATGAATATCTTAGACACTTATTTTTGCAATGGGGGTGAAGTTTAATTCATTTTTGTATTGATTGTTTGAATCACTTCAATGATGTTTAAGATTGCAACTGATCGATTTATTATTGGAGTTTGTGCATCTTGTATGGATTAAAATGATTATTGCCTTAAGTCACAAATATTATAAGCGGATGATGGGTCCAAAATATGAATTACCTCGATATAGCTTTAAGTCACAAGTTTTATATGTAAAGATGGATAGTGTCTAGCAGTGGAATCCAGGAAGCACGTTTCGTCCCATTTCAGGACTCGTCAGCTGGATGTACCTGTGTCGCGGAGTTGATATTCACTCCGAACTCCAGCTGACGAGTCCCAAATAAGACGAAACGCGCGGCCTGGATTCCACTTCTAGCTACTATCCATTTTTGCTTAGAGTGTTTGTGATTTGAAGCTATATCGATGCAATCCGTACAGGATGTACATGTGCCAATAAGAGAGAAACAGATCACTTGCAATCCTAAACATCAATGGGAAGATACAAGTGAAACAACATTAAGTGAATTGAAATTCGTTAAGCTAATCGAACATAATTTGAATATTATATGTCAGTTTCATAGAATAACCTCACATCATCATAAAGTATTTTAACAAGTTTCCGTTTCTTATTTGTTGATCGATCCTGACGATAAATATTGAGTGATCACCAATTAGAAGTTAGTAGTCCAATCAATGGACATCTGAATAATGTGTATTGTTTTCGATGCATATTGCCAGCACGATATCTCTGATTGCACCGTTTGTAACTTGTACAACGAAAGGTTGTATACTTCTCAGAAACGAACTTGAATAGGTTATCCGGTTAATATATTTATATTATATTATATTATTAGAAGCTTTATTCAACATTATATTTTTGGTACAACATAGAATTCTCAGCATAAAGTATTTCAACAAGTTTCCTTTTCTTATACCTTGATCTATTGTGACGATAAATTTTGAATGATGACCGGTTAGATGTTAGGAGTTCGGTAATCCACATTTGATTAATGTTCGTTCGTTTCAATGCATATTGCCAGCCACCATGATGTCGATGATTGCACCTTTTTGTATCACGTATAGCGAAAGGTTGTAAAGTTTTCATAAACGCGCCTGGATAGGTTGTGTGCTTAATGAACATAATGATGAACTAAAACAAACAACAAAACAGATAACTTGGTGAAATATGTAGATCGGAGGAACAGGTAGCCCAGATATTCAAGCAGGCCGCCAGTAATGGACATAATGATGTATTAAAACGAAAATCCATAACTTGTTGAAGCATCTAGATTGCAAGAACAGATAGCCCAAATGTTCAAGAAAGCCACCAAGTTGTTGAATATCATTGAATGATAAGGGAAATTTTTTTTAGCTTAAACGTGTAATCTGAAGAATTACTTAAGAATGAAATGTTGAAGAATATTTCATAGATGGATTGATTACACATAAAATATACCACAGATATAGTACATTTCTACACAAACCTGGTAAACTATTATCAATTGGATGGAATGACTCAACTTCTTGAATCGATAGCTCAATTGAGGTCTTCAGTAACCTGTTTGAATTCAGGAAAAGCATCGTATGTCATCACTTGAGGTCGCTTCAAACCTTCAGCCTTATTAAATTACACATCTCTTATACACAGATATCGTGGTCTGGTCATGATATTACTAAGTCAATGGCTACAGAATACACCAGTTGTATTTCGAGAAAACCTGCCTATTTGTGCCATAATACTGTAGACCATCATCATTACCACCAACATATTAGAACTGAAATATCTCAATGTTTATTCAAAGTAACACATTCGTTATAGATTTCATACAGATTATTAGATTAGCTTTGCTGTAATTTGACAGATGAAGCCAATCAATGTTAATGCATACAAATACTGACCATTTAACTGTTTTATTCCCTCCTCAAAAAGTTGCACACTCTGAAGTGCAATCATTTGGTTTCTTTATTTATTAACTGTACATCATTATTTTACTTTCAACTTTCAGTTACTTCCATGTTTGGATCTTCAGACAGCGACTGTAAGTATATTTTATTTAGCATATTGATTAGTGAAAAAGAGACCACTGGACATCAACCAACATAATGAATCATAATGCTTAATTATTCAGTCTAGTGAGCAACATTTATCATGATTAATAATTAGACAACTGTGGTGAAATGATAAAAGCCGAATACAGCTTCTAGTAGTATTCGTTCTCATTTTCAAAGCATTATCACAGTATAATATACATTAGTTCTGTGTGTTTTCAACAAACTTTTTCACTTTACAACCAGTATCATTGATAGTGATACCTAGTCGACCCATTCATTAGTTGGAAGTCTTATCAAAATTAACATATAATTATGAATACCTATTGGAGACCGATAGGTACTAGATTCGAATCTTGCGGGGCGGGTTCGTGGATGCGTACTGCCGAGAAGAAGTCCCATAATAGGACGAAATGGCCGTCTAGTGTTCCCAGGTTTTCCATGATGGTCTAGCTTTAAGTGACTCATGATCTCAACTACTGAAATTATTGGGAATGCGTTGTACGAATTTATTATCATCCTGTTCATGAAACTGTTTACATAGTCTGTTGTTGAACAACTTATTCCCTCTCACAAAAACGATAGTCGAAATCAACAGAAAAATTGGGTTGCTTCAGTTTTTATTTAATTAAGAATATTTCGCTTGCCTTACCTAACAGAATTTAAACATAAAACAGCAAATACACTACAAATTTATTATATGCAAAGATGGATAGTGACTAGCAGTGGAATACATGACACACGTTTCGTCCTATTTGGGATTCGTCACCTGCATGTACCTACATCTCACAGTTGATATTCACTCTATGACTGTAACCCAGTATTGTTTGCTTCAAACGCCATTGTGTATTTCACTTAGTTACTAAGTCATTATAGCCATGTGCTTGTGTTTTTAGGTGAAGTGTAAATTCACTTGAAATTATTTACTTGAATCTTTCGATTGATATTTAGGACTGTAACTGATCAGTCTGTTGTTGGCATATGTTGGCATCATATGCGGAATACCTCAATATTGTTTTAATTCAAAAGCATTCTAAGCAAAGATAGATACTGGCTAACAATGGAATCAACATCAATGGGAAGATTCAAGGAAAATAATACCAAGTGAATACAAATTTATTAGTAATTTTCCATTATGAATCATTTCAAATTGATTGACATTGTTATTGTTTATTATTTTATTTAACAACATTTCAATTTTGATTTCTAGCTAAACCGAATGAAAATCGTAAGTAATTGTGAAAATTAGATATAAAAGACTAATTTCATTAACATAAATGAACGTTATAAGTAAGCGGTATTAAGATATCATATCAGCGAATTTCCATATTGAATCATCTACTGTATCTTTTAGATTTGATCATGAATTTATTCCATCTAAATAATACTTACTTATTACTTACTTACTTACTTAAGCCTGGTACTCCCAATGGAGCATAGACCACCGACTCTCATTCTTCAACCCACTCTGATCTAGGCCTTCCTTTCTAGTTCTATCCAATTTTTGTTCATGTCTGTCTTCATTTCTCGGTGTAAAGTGTTCTTTGGTCTTCCTCTTCTCTCTTGACGTTGAGGATTCCATGTGTGGGCTTGCCTTGTGACGACTCATTCATTTTTTAACTACCAGTGTTAACGATGTGGTTTATGAATGATAACTTGTTCACATTATAGTTGAATGATAATTAAACTAAATTGTTGTTCGAACTATCAACTTAGTACAATATGTATATAACTTACAAAAAGTATTATTCAATCGATAATTCTGTTAATGTGTGTTGTACCGCAAATCACAAACTGCATTACGAGGTAAGCCCTAACTTGGAATTCTGAAGGGAAGCGGAAAAGCCAAAGAACACATTAAGTTGGGAAATAGAAGTAGATATGAAAACGCCGAATAAAGATTAGAAAGAATTGCCCAGGACAAGGTTGGATAATGAGTACTGGTGTGTGGCCTATGCTTCTTCACGAGAAGTAACAAGCGTAAGTAAGTAAGCACTGTATTCCTAATCATGGTTATCAGTCTATGTTTATTGTTCATGCTAACGGGACGAAATTGAAACTGATGCATGAAATATGCGTAATGATAGTGAATGATCTTGATTGACTTGATCATTGGATTGCAAAATCACAACTATTTTGTTATTTATGAATTTTATCTTGACAATAAGTCAACTTGATGTTTTTGTTCGATCTCAGCAAATATAAGTACCGTTGAGGTTGAAAGTCGTAAGTAATAATAGACATGAAATTCATTTGATTGTCTAGATCATCAATGTCTTATATATGTAGAATTATTTGTTTTGCCAGCTGTTTAGTATTGTTTGTCATTGACTTCTGTAGCAAAATGCTGAATAATCTTTAGCATTGTTTTATATAACTGATGCTCTATTGAAGAAGGTCCCATACTTTCGTTTTATTGTTCCATTACAGATGTTCAGTATTCTGATTTTATTGTTAAATAAATCTATTTTATTAATTATTTTTGTTAATTGGGTTTATTGTTATCTAATGTAACGTTTTTACGAATTGAAACGTTTCTAGTCTCGCTTAAAGAAAGTGAGTTTTTCATATTAGAGAAATTTTTTACGTTAAGTCATCTTAAATTTGAATTGTTGAATTCATGAGTCAATTGAATCTAGACCATTATGAAAAACCTGGAAGCACTGGACAGCTGTTTCGTCTAAGTGCGGGGCTCCTCAGCAGTGCGTATTCACGATCCCCCCATCGAGATTCCAACCCAGGATCTAGCATTCTCGCACGCGAGCGCTTAACCACTAGACCGATGAATCTGTAGGCATCCAATGGTGTTAATGTACAACTTCAACCAATTCACAAAATTGCACCACACTGAATATTTATAAGTGTTATAAGTTACTATTAGATTATCATGCTATAAAGTTCAAGTTATCCTGTTTTCTCAAACATCAAATTATAATCTGAAGATAATTATGACTATAAAATTATCACAACATTGAAATCATAGGTTTACAAGGAAAATCAATTGCATATAGCTAGGACTTATAATCTTGATATTAGTAATAACTATGATTTGCTTAATAAATCTAGTAGCTATCTACGTATACTATGCCTATTCGCCCATTTATGTATTCTAATGTACTTTGAATCTACTCCTTGTTCGGTTTATCTAACTCAATTGATTTATCCTTTATGATCAAAATCTACTGAAAAATTGCTCTGAATGTAGATTTCTTCTTCTTTCCATTTTTGCTTATGACATCTTTCATTCATTAAAAACTATGAAACTTTGGTCATCAAACGCTTTTCACAATTAATAACAGGCAATGATTATAAACAATAAGGAATTGAGCATTTTTAAGATGTATGCAGATTTTTGGTTTTGCTCAATTTCTGGCAAAGTGATAACATAATTCAATGGATAGGGTTTAGCAGTGGAAGCCAGGACAAGCATTTCGTCTTATTTGCGACTCATCAGCTGGGTGTACCTACATCTCAGAGTTGATGTACCCTCTGAGATTCCAACCTAGTATCGTTCGCTTCCAACGTTATTACGTTATCCACTTAGTTACTGAGCCTTGATAGCCAATATAATTAGTTCATATCACTATTTATTACTGATTTCTTCTAACTCATATATTAGATCTAGTAAGGTCAACCTCAAAAAAATCGATAAATGGAACGAACCTATATCCAAAAATTCTCCCTAAAATAATTAACTAGTTCTGTTAGTTATCTTAAAGAGACTATATATGTGGAATGGGTGAAGAATCAGTAATGATTTAGAGAATAATTACCCGAATTGCATATTTGAAATGATCTCATGTATTCTGTTTGTTTTCATATCCTAGGGATTATCAATAAATGTAAGTAGTTTGCTTGGATGTTATTTAAAAGCCTTTATATCGAAAACTAACGTTGTACCCTGAAACATAACCATGGAAGAAGTTATTAATAAAACTGTAATTTCATCTCTACAGTTTAAGAAAAGCAGAAAGTTGTAGAATACTAATCATTTATAGTAATTATCCAGATATAGTGACATTCATTATACTCAAAAAGCACATGTATTCAAAAAGATCACATATTTTGGATGAAAGTGAATAAGTGTTACTATTTATTTATTCATTAATTGAACGAATAAATATTGGTACATAAGGGGCACCGAATACATATGCGCTACACAAGTCACTTGAGTGGTGTGTATGGGTTGCAGTTTCATGGTAGCCAGTGACCGTCGATTGGTTCTTACGCCATTTGTTCCCTCAGGATCCTGGGACCCATGTGCACCATTGGTTTAGAATCAAGAACATCCAACTCCCTTAGGTAGATCCACCATACCCGCCAACTCGATTAAGTCGCCTTACATTCTCTTTTCGTTTACACAACAGTAATGCCGTGAGGAGGCAATGAGTAAGACTTTCCTGTCATTGGCTGTATACGCATGGTCATGTGAGCGCATTTGGAGAGGGAGAGCTAACTCTCCTCACTTTCGACCGTACCAAGGCATTGTATTCGGAAATTCACAATATTTTCATGATATAATATCGATTAAGTAATTCGCTCATGTAGTCATAGGAACATCACCTAGTCAAGTATCAAAACAATAATGATAGTCGTCAGAATGAAGTATCACAAATGCATTACCTACTTACAGTCATCTATGATATTGTTTATAAACAAAACAATAGAAACTTTAACTATTTTGCATTTAACTGTAATAAAACACAGCTTCTTTGTATTCTGAAATGGATATGTGTACATCTATAGATTTCAAGAAAACAATGAGCTTGACTAAGTGTATTATTTACTCACTTACTTATGCCTATTACTCCTCGAGGAGGAGCGTAGGCCGCTCATCAGTTCACACTTGATTAATTGCATAAATACGTTAAATATTGTTGTCATACATAGGAAGAGCCTTCTTTATTATAACAGTCATTTACAAACAAAAAGTCACTAATTTTTCTATTTGTTATTCTACTTTATAGTCAACAGTATTTTTGGAGAAGAAGGTATGACTTTTCAAATAATTTTTAGCTGGATCATTTATATTCTGGAACAATATATTTTATTCTATTTTAATGAATCCCAACGTGTAAAATATGTGAAGTTATTTGTGAAGAAAATAAGCGGAGATAGATAGCAGTGGAAACTAAAACGCGTGTTTCGTCCTATTTAGTACTCGTCAGCTGGATGTAACTGAATATCAGAGTCGATGTTGACTCTGCTACTCAAACGTAGTACCGTTTGCTTCAAACGCCATCGCGTGATCCACTTAGCTATTAAGTTCTGATAGCCACATTACTGAATTCCACTACTAGCCATTATCTATCTTTGCTTAGAATGCTTTTGAATTAAAACAATATCGAGGTATTCCTCACATGATGCCAACATATGCCAACAAGAGGCTGATCAATTACAGTCCTAAACATCAATCGAAAGATTCAAGTAAATAATTTCAAGTGAATTTAAACTTCACTTAAAAACACAAGCACGTGGCTATCAAGACTCAGTAACTAAGTGAATAACACGATGCTGTTTGAAGTGAACGATACTGGTTTAGAGTCACAAAGTGGACATCAACTGTGAGATGTAGGTACATGCAGGTGACGAGTCTCAAATAAGACGAAACGCACATTCTGGATTCTATTTCTAGCCACTATCCATCTTTGCTTAGGATGCTTGTGAAGCAATCCGTACAAGATGCATATCTTTCAATAAGATAGAGAGAGAGAGACTGATCAATTACAGTCCTAAAACAACAACAACAACAACATCAATAAAATGCTTTCACATAAAGAATAATAATTCCACATAGTGACTAAAATAGATTCTAATATTATTATCCCATTATGAAACATTTTTAACCTCATTCATTTAATTCCTTAATTCTATAAAAGATTACAATGTTTAATGTTTATTCTATAGAATACAATCCATCTAAAGACAGGTTAGTAGACATTTATGACTATATATTAACATAGTTTTCCCTAAGGAATATAACATAGATAGGCTTATTAATTGTTTAGATATTAACTTTACTCTATGGTAACTAAGATTATACAATGAAGCAACAAAGTGAATTACAAGTGATCAAACAATTAGTTTCATTTATTGTAATAAACACTTAGATAGTTATCATGAGTTTAGTTATTCAACTGTTAGTGAATATCCATTACAAAGAATGATCATGTTTTGGTTCATTTGGGTTCAGAATGCATTTCAGTGCAAAATAAAGTATATGTTGTTTGTCATTTATCATAAGTATAGTAGTTGAACGATCATATGTCTTAATGAATTTAACCATTGTAATTTGTTAATGAATCAGGTAGTTTTAGTAACTAAACCTAGAGTTTTATCATTGGAAATATAAATAAGTCAGATTATCTCAGGAGACCTAAAATGAAAGATTATGCATAGGAAATGAATAGAATTGAAAATAAGCATCACTAGAGAATTTGTTATCACAAGATTTGCATTTCTAAAATCTCGAAGGTGGGGAGAGCCAACTATCGCTGTCGAAATGCTCTCACATGACCACGCGTATACAACTGCTGCCAGAGGGGTCCTACTCACTGCCTTCTCACAACATTACTGTTGTGTGGAAGAAAAGAGAATGTACAATGACTTAAATGAATTGGTGGCAATAGATGATTCACCTAGGAGGGTTGGAAAAAGTGGTTCCAAATCAATGGTGTACATGGGCTCCACAATCCTGAGGAAACAAATGGAGTGTAAACCAATCGATGGTTACTGGCTACCATGAAACTGCATCTCGTAACGTTGCTCCACTGCCTTATGAATCAGATCTTTTGGTCAAAGACTCTGATTGTTGCCCCCTTAGAAAACCACTTACTTTGGTTTGGGCAGCTGTGTATTATCACAGCCCATACACACCAATCAAGTGACTTGTGTGACGCATATGTATTCAGCGCCCTTTTGTACCCATATTTATGTGTTTAAATAGGGTAAGGAATTGGATTTCGGGTTTTCATCATGAACTAACATCAGCTATAATGTCAAAACTTTATTTACTCAAATGGATGAGTGAATTTCGCACAAAATCCAAAACCTACGATCTTATACATGATTGATTTGTCCATAAATTATAATCTCGCCGTAATCATAATCAATTAAGTATTTGATTCGGATAGTATTATACTTAAATTTACTACAAATAAACAGATTCATTACAATTTATTACCTTTCAAACCTTATTTACAGTGATTTCGTTGATAGATTATGGTAAGTTGACAAATTTAATTCATCTACCATCTTCCAATTTTTGTTTTCCTTTAACTTTCATTATTATTCTATTTGATTAGTACAGATAGATATAGAGATTGACAATCACACAGAATACAATTGTAGTTAACACTATTCATTCATGTATGTTCACCGATATCAGAATGAGGAGCTAAAGAAGCGGTTACGTAACATGTTTACATCATTAGTATTGGAGACGAAGATTTAAAAAAAACAACTAATCTGATCTTTCAAGAAATGTTTCTTATAAGGGATAATTTAAGGCATTAAACTTCAGATAAGTAAACTCCAAATTCAATAATGATGATTGGGGCATTTAAAAAATAGTGGAAATAAACAAGCTTATCATTGAAACTTATATAGAAGACTAACGGAATGCTTCTATGTCAAGAAAAGTATACACGAATAACGCAGAAAGTCAAGTTGGTTTCTTTATTGATCAATAAGAAGTAAGAATATACAGGCGAGACTATAATTTATGAACGAGCTACTTAGAAGACTTTGTAGGATTTCAAGGTCACTGCGCCAATTTCAGTACCTAATGCTCATGTACGATTGATTCACAACGGATTTTTTAGAGAAAAACGTGATAATTGAGAGGCTGAAACTAAAAGGATTACTAAGAAATTCCTTTGTTTGTGATTGTGGTAATCAAATAACTCGTGGACCTTGTGAAGACTACTGTAATGTTGTCTTTCGATGTAATATATTTTGGAGGAGGAAGTCTTCTGGAATAGGTTTTTTTTTCGCTCGATCCAAATCGAGACTAAAGTAAATTATGACAATTGTTGCAAACTGGATAATAAAAGCACCAGTAACTTTGACTGCCACCGGTACTTCGATATATATGGAGGATTGAAGAGCGTACAGATGCCTACATAGACTTGGCTATGTGCATCGTATCGTTATACACAAGCGGCACTTTATGAACTCAAAAACCGGAGTGTACATTATGTGGTCCTGGATGAATGAGTTTTTACGACCCTACCATGGCTCGGGAGGCCAACTATTATGGAGCCATATGGATGAGTTCCTATATCACATGCATTACGATTTTAGAACCTTTGAACCTCTTTCTAATCTTGACAAGTTTTTAAACCACATAAAAGAAATGTATTCACTTTAATTCTTTGGTTTTGTATAGTATATTTTATTCTGTACTAACTGTTTTCTGATTGACTAATATTACTCAACGTCACTAAAGATTCGTTCAAAGGTCGTCCATAAATTACGGCGTCACCTATCTTGTTCACATTTTCATCTGTAACCTCTGTTTTCTTTATATAGTTCAGTTATTATTTACAAATGAAATGTTTTAGAAATACATGTTTTTCACAGACAAACAACTCTCCAGCTATTCACCAAGGTTCCTACACTATGATTGATCAAATATAATTCGTAGTATGTAATTTGAATTGTTAGTGTTAGGCAATATTTCGCGAATAAAAAAGTGTCAGAGGAATAGGTTAGAAACTTTCGAGAATCAGCTTCGAATTATACATGAAACTACTTATCGTAGTATTGTAAGCAAAGATGGATAGTAGCTAGAAGTGGAATACAGTATGTGCGTTTCGTCGTATTTGGGACTCGTCAGCTGAATGTACCTGCATCTCAGAACTGATATGTCACTCTGTAACTCAAACCCAATACCGTTCGCTACGAACGTCATCACGTTATCCATTTAGCTATTGAGTCCTGATAGTCACATGTGCATTGGAGTGAAGATTAATTGAATATTACCATTGAAGAATCAAGTAAGCCTTACCAAGTGTTATCATAATGTTACGAAATAACACTCTGACCGAAAAATCCCCCCAATTATAATCTGTGCTACCAATGTAGCTAACATAACGCTGCTAATTTTGTGCGATAAACCTTTCTTATAACTTACTTGCTTACGCCAGTTACCCCTTATGGAGTAGCATAGACCACTCACCAGCATTTCCCACTTACCTCTTCCTTAGTCATTTCTTTTCAGTTGTTTTCAGTTGAAATGGATCCTTTTGATGTCTGCTTCCAATTCTCGATGCTATACGTTCTTTGATGTTCCTCTTTTTCATTTCTTTTCAGGATTCCATCTTAATCATCTTAAATTAAATAATTTTATTAGGCGTCCATGCACGAGACCGATAGATGCTGGTTTAAAATCTCGTGAGGCGAGATCGTAGATGCGCACTGCTGAAGAGTCCTATAATAGGACGTAGCAGCTGTTCAGTGCTTCCAGTCTTATTCCATAATAGTCTAACATCAATCGATTCATGATCTCAACTAGTAACTTATTTGATATGATCAAATCGAATCTTCATAATAAATGATACCTACCATTATTACATGTATTCTCTTACTATTTTAATCGATAATTATTTTTTTTGTTTTTGTTGTTGTTGTTTATTTTCTATACTTTAGGATGTTATTCAAACATTGTTTCTTGAATTTCAAAAACCTCGCCAAAATCTTCTCCATTTAAATAAAACAAACAAAAATAAATCGATTTGTTATTTGTAATCATAAATCAAAATGCAAACAAAACAGAATTGATTGAATGAAATAACAAACAACAACGACAAAAAATAAAAAAAGCGATTATTATTATGTAACTGAATTTCTCTTTTCTTCTTCTTCTTCATCTTTGTTTTTGTTTTTAAAGAAAAAAATATATTCATGTTTTAATAGAATGTTTTTAAACTGGTAATGTGTACTAGGGCTGAAACTATCACGAGTTCACTTAATCTACGAACAAGAATAAAGACTCAGTGACCAAAGACCAATAAATTAGCTATTTGATGCTTCCCAGCCCCACTAACTAGAGGGAAATGTTTAAGCTTGGAATAGGGAAGTATATTCTGCAAACAGCCAGAAACGAGCGATCACAACAAACGCAATTCAAACTTATATATACAATATATATATATAATCGATATTGCCATGGAAGTTTTATTTAAACATTTAGTCGATAAGTTCGTCAATCGACTATGTGCATGGGTGGTAAGAAATACCCAAGCATACATCTGCATACAAGCTCCACAAAGATGAAATTACAAAATATGAGTTTTGGGGATCTATCGGGTCAGATAGCTAAGAAGCTAAGTGCATAACGCAACGGAGTTTGAAGCGAGGGGTACTAAGTTCGATTATCACAGTGAGCATCAATTATGAAATGCAGGTAGATCCAACTGATGAGTCTCACGTAGGATAAAACGTGTATCCTGGATTCCACTGCTATATATAGCATTCGATCTGCACTAAGAAGGACTTGACACACACTACATTCATAACCACTTAGTGATCAATCAATTCTGAATATATATATATATATATATATATATATATATATATATATATATATATATATATATATATATATATATATATATATATATAAGTGATATATGAACGTGAGTTGTTACAAACAATACTAAAAGATCATGATGTGTTATGAAGTAATGGAATGATGGAGGAGGTTTGTAGCTGAGGTGAATGATTTTGATGAAGTTTTGTTCTTTAAGCTAGATGATTTAGTCGTGAAGCTTTTATCATTCTTCTAAACGACATTGAGGTCTACAGGACAAGCTTTGAACCATATGTAGAAAAATTTGAATAGTTTATACTAATGAAATCATTCAGAAGACTGATGAAAAGTTTCACGACTAAACCATTTAGCTTAAAGAACAAAACCCCATCAGAAGTAATCGAATTATGATTATTTTCAAGCTTGTTTCGGAAAATCACCAACTTATCAAGTCCTAAATATCGTAGCGAGTCAATGTAAAAATTGTATAGTGTGAGTATGTGACCTTGGATTGACAATTCTACAATTTGATCATTATGTTGTTAACGTGTGTTAGCATTTTTGAATCTTTGACAATTGAATATCTTCATATATATCTTCACAATGAGATTCAAGTGTGATTGATCGTAGATACAAACTACTGAAGAATCCCACACTACAACGAAACAGTCGTCTAGTGTTTGCAGGTTTTCCATAGTGATCTAGCTTCAACTGACTCATAAATTCAACTATAAAATTACTAAAGTCTCCATAAAACCCTTTATCCTAATAGTACTTATAGATTCTTATTAGTTATCCTAACTCGTATGAGATCTTCCAGCATATTCAGAGACTCCCTCTTCAATTTATATGATTGACAGCTTAAACAGACATACATAATTGTAATCTTCACCATTCCTTACTATCTATCGGATTAAAAGTAAATATCATTACTTGCAATTAAATAGAGGATCATTATGTATGACTAGCATTAGTTTTTCATAATATATACTTCATAAGAAGCATAAAGGGATCATAGTAATTTGTTTTATCAAGAAAGATATCAGAAACTAAATAACAGAATGAGAATTTGAGAATTTATTCGAAGAAACAGATTAGATTCATAGAGTTAATTGAATTCTAGTTTACAATATTAAAATACGGGTAAACTAATTTGTAATGTCAATGATCAATCGCAATATTCCTTCTGTCGTCGATCACAAAATTTGAGGTATTTCAGAAGATGCTTCTGATTGTTGTAAATTTTGGTATCGATTACCTGTATTCATAAGTTTCATTGATTAGTCATCTGTCATTCAAATTATTTATGTATCTGGTGGACATGAACTACGTTTCAAACGTGTATATGCCTAAGCTTTTCTTATTGTTTCGCAACCGGTGAAGATACAACTGCTATTGGAAATGTTTCAGGCGATTTTTAGGTTTGAGTATTTTCAATTCAGTTGTATTGTGAAGTAAATAACTTCCACTACAGAATTGGGGGCTTGTCACTTTTAAATGACCATAGTTGAGTATTGCACTAATCAAACCTGTAACGTTATTATCTGCACAGAAAATAACGCGAAAATTTACATCCGGGAGATATAAACCAACATTCTAAGGATATGGAATATTTATTACAGTAAGCTCATTTCTTTACATATTTCGTACATTTTGACGGAGTTTCGTTCTCTGAGCTGCATGGTTTGGTCGTAGAGATTTCATCATTCTTCTGAAAGACAGCATCAGCACAAACTTCAGATAGAAGTGAAGTGTTTAAATTTCTCCACATGTGGTTCACAGATTGTCCTGTACACCTCGATGTTGATTGATTCTTGTTTACCTAAAACCAATCATTGTTTACTTCTTTGTTTTACTCCACGACCAAACCATCCAGTTCAGAGAACAAAACTCCATCAAGATCACCCACCTGAGCTAAAAATCTTCTCCACCATCTTAGGTTTCGTACAAATTATCAATAAATGGCATACTTATTTAATCAGACATTATTTCAGAATTAGTCATATCAAAATAGTCTTCACAATTCGGATAACTTTAATACCCCTAATACTAGTAAACTCTCAACAATCTTTCTTGTTATATGTCGATATAGCATCTCCACAACGTTAATATCCTCGAAAACTTAACTTTGTCTGATTACGTATGAAGGGTTTAATAATTCATGTGGATTGACAAATATATAGAACTGAAATAAAATCCTTGAATGCATATCATAATAACCTTTACTTAGTCATGTACATGTATATGATATGTGGGCTATGTTTTATGGATCTGACAAATTTATCTTGTTTCTTTTTTTAAGGATGAAAGTCTGATAAGTTAAGAGCAGTTACACTGTTAGATTCTTTTATTCATTTTGATACTTCTGATTCGACATGAGCTGTGTTACTACTCGGGTCCCCAAACCGAAGCAGGTGATTTGCTTAGAAGGCCACAACACGAGCCTTTGACCTAATCCAGATGGCAGTGGAGCAATATCACGAGATGCAGTGCCATTGCAGTCAGTGACCAACGTTTGGTTCCTACTCCTTTTTTTCTTTGGGATCCTGGAACCCATGTGCACCATTGATTTGGAATGAGGGTTTTCCAGCTCTCCTAGGTGGACAAGAAGGGTCCACCAACCCGGTTAAGGAGTCAAACATTCGCTTTTCATCCTCTCAATTTCGTAAACAACAGTAATGCTGTGGGAAGGCAGTGAGTAGGACTTTCTTGACAGTGACTGTATACGCTTGACAATGTGAGAGCATTTGGAGAGGGAGAACTGACTCTCCCAACTCTCGGTTGTATCAGGGCATTCAGGCGCTCTTGTCAGATAACTAGAAATTTCCTGTGAGTTCGTAAATACTTCAAAGAAATATATGCGCTTTAATTGTAAATGAGGACAGCTCAATGGATTCTTAATAAAACGTATACAATAAAACTATGGGACACAGCCATTGAGTACTGTTGAATTCGTAGCTAGTGCCAACGCCTTGATGAGTTTTTTCAACCTTAACATCACGTTTATTTAAAATTATACATATCACACCAAGTATATTCAGTTCTCATAATTTACGGATATTTATTCCACCATCTGTTTAGAAATTTTATGTTATACTCTGTGTTCTAGAAAGCAAATAGGATAACATTTAACGACGATGATCATTTTCAAAAAAGAATGTTTTATATGAGTGCGTGCTTATTTGTGTGCTTGATAGTTGCCTGCATTTTATTATAAATTTGTTTGCCTCAAAATGCCCTGGTACAATCGAAAGTGGGGAGGGTCAGCTCTTCCTCTCCAAATGCTCTCACCTGACCAAGCATCTACAGCCACTTTCAAGAAAGTTCTATCACTGCCTTCTCGCGAGATCACTGTTGTTTACGAAACTGGGAGGACGAAAATCTAATATCCGGCACTATAACCAGGTTGGTGAATATGGAGGATCCAACTAGGGTAGCTGGAAAACCGTGTTTCCAAACCATTTGTGCACATGGGTTCCAGTATCCTGAAGGACCGAATGGTGTATGAGCCAATCGTTGGTCACTGGCTACAATAGCACTAGCTCTCCTGACGTTGTTCCAATACCTTGTGGATCAGACCTTTAGGTCGAAGGCTAGTGTTGTGGTCTTCTAAGCAAACTACCTGCTTCGGTTCGGGGACCCGAACACATAAATCGAATGATTTATGTGGTGCATATGTATTCGATGTCTATTTGTACCAATGATTATGTGTTTAAATAGTAAATAATGTTTGTTGTGAATATAATTTCATGATTTTTGCCTTGATCACTTATTTCGACATTGGCTGACATATAGCGGATCAGTATTGTAAATCCATTCAATGCTTACACAAAATATTTTTCAGTGTAAAGTTGTGTAGATTGTTAAGTTTATGATTCAGATCGTGAATCATTGAATGTTGAACCAGTATTGAAAACCTCGAAGTATTAAACGGCAGTTTCGTCCCAGTATGGGACTCCTCAACAGCGCATGTCCATGATCCCGCATGAGGGATTCGAACTCAGGAACTTCAATCTCACACGCGGACGCCTAACCTCTAGACATTAACACCGTTGTATGCCGGCCCAATTGTTCGTCTAATGTTTTCATTGAATTATAATCGTGTGTAATAGTGTTTTGTAAAAAAGAAAAAAAGAATATCTTTTCAGCCTTCAGTGATAAGGTATGTAGGTTAAGTGAAATAAATCTGATATGTACAGAAAATGTTGCAAATAAACCTCAACACTACTTATAACTTCTTAAAATTTTATGCTGTTCACATTGGAACTTTACAACCATCTTTGTATGGATACATTCACTGTGTTCTCCTTGTTTTCATATCTAGATATGTTCACACCAAATATATCATGTACCCATGACTTGGAATCCCTGTATAGAATTTAT